GTTATTTTGAAGTTTGAACATTCTCTGACTTCAAGTTAGAATGCTGAGGGCATGGTTTCTGTGTATCATTTCCCTTGTTGTTCTGTATGGTTTGGGGAGGAAATATTGGGAGATGGGAGCTATGGTTCACCATTGTCTTTAATTATCCATAAGTCCTATGGATTCTGGTTTATTTTCTAAATGTAGAAAAGAACATTGTTTCAAACACACACACATCTGTGTGAAAATTCTGAAAAAAAAAACACCAAAAGAAACATGCTTGAGTCATTATTAAGATTAGATGAGGTCATGAGGTTTGGACCCCCTTGATGGGATTAGTGCCCTTAAGAGAAAAGACATCAGAGAGCTCCCCTTCTCTCTGGATGCACTCTCAAAGAGGTCAGGTGAGCACACAGGAGAATGTCAGCTGCCTACAAGCCAAGAGAAGAGGCATCGGAATGACACCTATTTTGCTGGAACATTGACCTTGGACTTTCCAATGTCTAGAACTGTAGAATCTATTCTTAGTATTTTGTCTTTCTTTTTTTATTGAATTTATTGGGGTGACATTGGTTAGTAAAATTACATAGGTTTCAAGTATACAATTCTGTAATACATCATCTATATATCACATTGTGTGTTTACCACCCAGAGTCAATTCTCCTTTCATCACCATATATTTGACCCCACCTACCTTCATCTCTTGCCTTATCCTCTGGTAACCACTAAACTATTGTCTGTGTCTATGAGTTTTTGTTTCTTTATTTATTTGTCTGGTTCCTTTGTTGCTTTCAGTTTTATATCCCACATATCAGTGAAATCATATGGTTCTCGACTTTTTCTGTCTGACTTATTTCGCTTAGCAAAATCTCAAGATCCATCCATGTTGTCTCAAATAGTAGTATTTCATTTTTTCTTATGGCAGAGTAGTATTCCATCGTGTATATATACCACATCTTTTTTATCCAATAATCTATTGAAGGACTCTGTGGTTGTTCTCATGTCTTGGCCACTGTGAATAATGCTGCAGTGAACATAGGGATATCTATATCTTTACAGATAAATGTTTTCAAATTTTGGGGGGGAGATACCCAGGAGAGGGATTACCAGGTCATATAGTAGTAATTCTAGTCTTAATTTTTTGAAGAACCTCCACCCTGTCTTCCATAGCGGCTGCACCAATCTACATTCGCACCAATAGTGTATGAGGGTTCCTTTTTCTCCACAACCTCTCCAACACTTGTTATATCTGGCCTTGTTGATAATAGCCATTTTAACAGGTATTAGGTAATATCTCATTGTGGTTTTGATTTGCATTTCCCTATTAGCTAATGAAGTTGAGCATTTTTTCACAGATCTGTTGGCCGTTTGTATGTTTTCTTGGGAGAAGCGTCTGTTCAGGTCCTCTGCCCATTTTTTAATTGAATTGTTTATTTGTTTGTTGTTGAGTTGTATGAGTTCTTTATGTATTTTAGTTATTAGCCCCTTATTGGAGGTGTTGTTTGCAAATATATTCTCCCGTTTGGTTGATTGCTTCTTTGTTTTGTTGATGATTTCTTTTACTCTGTAGAAGTTTTATAGTTTGGCCCATTCATTTATTTTTGCTGTTACTTCCCTTGCCTTCGAGGTCAAATTCATAAAATCCTCTTTGAACCCAAGGTCCACAGTTTAGTACCTATGTTTTCTTCTATGCAATTTATTGTTTTAGGTCTTATGTTTAGGTCTTTGATCCGTTTTGAGTTAATGTTGGTAAATGGTGACAGATAGCCATCTAGTTTCATTCTTTTGCATGTGGCTTTCCAATTTTCCCAGCACCATTTATTGAAGAGGCTTTCTTTTCTCCATTGTATGTTTTTGGCTCCTTTGTTGAACATTGTCTGCCTATATATATATATGTGGGTTTATTTCTGGACTCTCAATTCTATGCCATTGGTCTGTGTTGTTCTGCCAATATCATGCTGTTTTTATTATTATCCCTTTGTAGTCCAAGCTGAAGTCAGGGAGTATGATACCTTCAGCCTGGTTTATTTTTCTTAGGATTGCATTGGCTATTTGAGGTCTTTTGTGATTCCATACAAATCTGATGATTTTTTTGTTCTATTTCTTTAAAAAAATGCCATTGGAATTTTGATGGATATTGCATTACATCTGTATATTGCTTTGGGTAATATAGCCATTTTAACTATGTTAATTCTTCTAATCCATGAACATGGAATATCTTTCCATTTCTTTGTGTCTTCTTCAATTTATTTTAAAAATATCTTATAGTTTTCAGTGTATAGGTCCTTCACATCCTTTGTTAAATTTATTCCTGGTGTTTAATTTTTTTGTTGTTGCAATTGCAAAATAAATTGGGTTTTTTTTCATTTCTTTTTCTGAAATTTCATTGTTAGTATATAGCAATACAGTGGAGTTTTGTACATTGATTTTGTAGCCATCACCATTACTGTATTGATTTATTGTTTCTAATAGTTTTGTGGTGGAGTCTTTAGGGTTTTCTATATAAAGATTCATGTCGTTTGCAACAAGTGACAATTTAACTTCTTCATTCCCAATTTGGATGCCTTTTATTTCTTTCTCTTGCCTGATTGCTCTGGCTCGAATTTGCAATACTGTGTTGAATAACAGTGATGACGGGGGCAACCTTGTCTTGTTCCTGATTGTAGAGCAAAAGCCTTCCGTTTTTCACTGTTAATTATGATATTAGCTTAGGGTTTGTCATATATGGTCTTTATTTTGTTGAAGTATTTTCCTTTTATACCCCTTTTATTAAGTGTTTCAATCTTAAATGGATGTTGTATCTTGTCAAATGCTTTTCTGCGTCTATTGATATGATCATATGATTTTTATCCTTTGTTTTGTTTATGTGGTGTATCACATTGATCGATTTGCATATGTTGAATTATCCTTGTGAGCCTGGAATGCACCTTACTTAATCATGATGTATAATCTTTTAAATGTATTGTTGTATTCAGTTTGCTAGAATTTTGTTTAGGATTTTTACATCTATAGTCATCAGAAATACTGTTCTGTAGTTTTCTTTTTTGTGTGTGTTGTCCTTACCACGTTTTGTTATCAGGATAATATTGGCCTCATAAAATGAGTTAGGAAGTATTGCCTCTTCTTCAATATTTTGGAAGAGTTTGAGGAAGACGGGTGGTAGGTCCTCTTTGAATGTTTGGTAGACTTTACTAGTGAATCTATCTGGTCCTGGACTTTTGCTTTTGAGAAGGTTTTGGATGATGTTTCAATTTTCTTACTGTTATCAGTCTATTTAGATTTTCAAGTTCTTTGTGATCAAGCCTAGGAAGGCTATATGTTTGTAAGAACTTGTCCATTTCTTCTAGGTTATTGAATTTGGTGGCATATAGTCCTTCATAGTATTGTTGTATGATCCTTTGTATTTCTGAACCATGGTAACTTTTTTTTGTTTGTGATTTTGTTTATTTGTAACTTTTTTTACCTTAGTGAGTCTAGTCAATATTTTGGGTATATATCCTTTTAAAACTTAATTTTTTGGGGTAATGACTGGATTGCACTTCAATATATATTTCTGTCATAATGTATTTACCCAGTCTTCTATTAAGAGGTATTTTCATGTATCTAACTTTTCACTAGTATAAAAAAGCTGTGTTAAGTGATACATGAGAGGGAGTGTATTTGTGAATACACTGGCTTATAATAATAAGCACTTTTACTGTTCTAGGCGACTTATAGTATCATAAGCAAAAGCAATTAGAGAAGGTAGTATGTGGGATGCTTGATAAAGATTTTTATCCATATCAGTGTCCACTAGGTGTTCTAATGTAGACAGTGCTCACTCTGACTAGTGTAGTCTGGATATTCTTTGGGCATTCAAATGTGCAGTTTGTCAAGAAAAAAAAAAGTTTATGCTAGAGTGTGGGATCTGCCTAATGTTCTTCTAACATCACAGAAATGTATACAAGCTGTCTTGCAGACTATATCTTTCAGCATTGAAAATTATTCACTTTTTCCCTTAAGATTGAATTATTCTGTAATTAGTGTTCAGGCTCTACAAAAAATACATGTTAATATACAATAATGAACTATAATCACATACAAACACTGAGGTGGAAAGAATTTTCTAATATAGTAATGTTTTTATTGGAAATTATATTTTCTGCCTCTTTTCAAGATTATTGACCTTTCTATTCACAAGAGATATGAAAGATGCCATCATAGTCACTGAATAAACTCACATTATAAACAATCATTATTCCATGTGGACATGTTACTCTGGGAACAAATATTTAGAATACAAAACCCTAATGACTGTAAACTAAGTGTTTCCTATTTTTTATTTAGATATAATTGACATATTAGTTTCAGGTGTACAGCATAACGATTTGCTATTTGTACGTATTGCAAAATGATCTCCACGATGTCTAGTTAACATTTATCAGCACAGTTATGTTTTTTTCTTGTGATAAAAAATTTTAAGATCTCTCTTAGAAACTTTCAGTATACAACATAGTATTATTAATTATAATCCCCGTGTTGTACATACCTATGACTTGTTTATATTATAGCTGGGAGTATGTACACTTTAACCCCCTACCCATTCTCCGATCCCCACTCATACTTTTAACACTGGATATAATAATATAGACTGTACCGTACTTTGCAGCATTTACAACTGTCTTCTAGGACTTAAGTCTTAAATAAACTCTTCAGGGCTGATTCATGATATCTTTTTTTGTTTTTTTTTTTTGCTTTTAAAGTGCTCCCTAATGTCATAGTACTTTGTTTCAAGGCCAGAGTTTTTGAAATATACTGTTCTTTTTCTAAAGTGAGCGGATTGGGTACATCTACTTTTAGCTGCTACTTTTGCCTAGATTTTAGCTAAGCACTTAGGATTCAATTTAGAAATCTGTTTAAATTATTATTAGTATTGTTATTATTATTATTATTATTATTATTATTATATGAAATAGCATTATACCATCCTCTTTAAAAGACTCTATTGAATTTTTAACCATTTTTTATAACCTTTTCCTAAGGTATTCCCATCTGTCAGCAGCACTTAATTTGGAATAACGTGGAACTTGAAGATGATTACTGTTTGAATGATTACAAGTGAGTTTATGAACTGTCCCATAGACACTCACTCAGTATTGCAACTTCATATACCAGTGTTTTGCTTCTGAATCGTGTCTCTTTTCTTCTGAATAGTTCAGATCCCTAGATTTCAGTGTAAACCCTGAACTTTAAGATATGTTGGCTCAGTGCCCCACACTACCCGGTCCTTGTCCTATGGCTCTTTGTTTTACGTTTTAGCTATTTACGCCAATCTATTTATCCCCTGCCTTTTTAGAGCTTCCACTTCTGATCTTGCCTTCCTTGCTCCATTCTTTGAATATTGAACCATTCCCAGCTGGCTATGTCATTTTCTTTCCGTTTTCACAACTATTGAGTAAGAGAGTATTGCTCTTCACCAGCTTTCATTTTTTTTTTTAAGATTTTATTGGGGAATTGAGGAAGGGGAACAGACAAGTTGCTGTCCTTTTGTTCTTCAGTCTAGTTGTGGAGGACGCTGCTTCACTGGCCCATGTTGGTATTGTGATCACTGTGCTCTTCCCGGGTGAAGTAGATTGGTTGCTGGCCATTGGATGGCCACTCCTGGTGGCTCACAGCGGCTGCCGGCCGCTGGCCGCTCACTCCGTTTGCTGGCCACTCACGGTAGCTTATGGCAGCCCCCTGAGCCCCACTGCAGCCTATGTCATTGCTGGTGACTCACGGCAGCCCAGCTCCAGCTGTTGTTCACAGTCTTAGCTGTAGAGGGCGCAATATCACTGGCCCACGTGGGAACCGAACCAGCGGCCCTGCTGCTCAGACCTTGCCTCCCAAGCCAACTTTTAACCAACTGAGCCACTCGGCCAGCCCCACCAGCTTTCATTTTTCATTAAGCTCTCCCTTCTGTTGCTAAATGACCAGTTGTTGCAAATACACTGTCTGACCATTTGTCCTTTTTCCTCCCTTCTCTCACATAATTCTTCATTCTATCCTTAAGAAAAGAGCAAAAGGGTCAGAGGCGATGTGGAATAGCTGGTAGTGTTCACTGGGAGACCTTGTAGATTTGCTGTTTTTTGTCTTCTATTTTATTAAATATATCTGCTATTTTCTAACACTGGGTCTTGGACAAGCTTTTCTTCTTCGGGCCTCTGTTTCCTTACATGTGAAACGAAGAGGCTAAACCACACAATCACAGAATCCTACCAGTAATTCTGAGATTTCATGTCATATTAAATGCTTAGGAGAACTTCCTCACTTTTTCATTATTTATACATGTAAATAAGTTGACATTTTATGTTTATGCACATTGCTATATGTATTTTCATATTTTAGAGGATAGGCACAATGCTTAATAAAGCAGCACATAATTGTATGTATATTTAACACTGAATGCATTCTGATGATTGCAGTTAATTTTTGTGTTAATTATCCACAGCATTTCAGAAGGTTGTACCTTGAAGCTGGTATTGGCTATGCGTGGAGGACCTATAAATACTAGAAGAGGTAGGCATATGTTAAAGTATTTTAAATCAATTTGACAACAATAGTCTTCAAGTCAGTTGGTGTTTTTGTTTTGTATTTAAATCCTTTCTGTGCTTAGGTCTTAGAAGAGCCACATTTGTTTCTCTAGTAATTGTTTTTTAAAGCCTAAATGCAGAGGCAAGAACTCGTATTCCAGAAAATCTCGTGATTCCTGATTCAATCCAGGGAGATTTAAAAATAAACTTCACCAGTATAGTGGAGGGAAATGGGATGGTATAGTAAAAATATGTTATTATTGTGTTTAGGTTCATTTCATTCTTGTTGCTTTTTTTTAATTCCCTGAGTCTTCAACTCCTGGGGTAATGATCATTATAGAAAGTTCCAAAGATGCCTGTTAGCCTGGTTTATTATGCATTTGGGTTTCATGGATATTATCATGGCCCTGTTGAACCTTTTTTCAGAATGTGGGCTGTCTAGGAGTCTATTCATTCATTTAGTAAATACATTTGGAGCCCCTACTAGGTGTTCAGTGCACTGTTCCCTGGGAGAAAGTATCCCCACTTCATCCCAATGCCCACTCTGTAGAAGTTGATGCTGTTTCAAGTGCTGGAGGAAATAGGGCGGTGTGACAGTCTGCAGGGGTAAGTAGGTTGGCGCCACAGAGTCTGTGGGGGTGGGGGAAATAGGGCGGCGCCAACAGAGTCTGCAGAAGAAATAGGGCTGTGCCAGAGAGTCTGTGGAAGCAAGGTACTAGGAGGGTGATTGAGGAAGGGCCCTTGGAGAAGATGGTGTGAGGAGACACTTGGTTAACAAGAAAGTTCTAAGCATGGGAAGAACAAGGAGTGTTCCCATTGTCCCCTGATTCAGGGATGTCCCGTGAATCCCCACCAAACAGAGGCATCCTGAGACTGCTCAGAGCAGTCAGTCCTCTGTGTGCCTGGTTTTAGAGAAGGCCTTCATTTTTGTTTGATCGTTGTCTAACCACAAAACTGAAGGTTAAGCATTGATTTCACTGCTGGCTTATTTATTCCACAAGTCAAATTTTTATCTCTGCTTCATAATTTTGGTTAGAAAATAAGGTTATTACTATCTTTTTCCTAGACACTTCAAGAGTATTTTGTGAGATATGTTACTTTGGCTGTTGAACTGTTTTGGATAGGTTGGAAAAAACGAGAATAATAATGTTAGAGCTGATTAATTAGCATTTCTAGTCTTGGGGACTTGCTATTAACTTGACTTATGAAATTATCCTATGGAACATAAGGTGATGCTTATAGTACTGATTCTGAGGGTAGTGTAAAAACCCTAAAGCATATACTGAGCCATTATGGTAAGGTAGAATTATATAGTGTCTAATGACATGTGAACTCCATTGTGATCTATTTTTGAAAGCTGGTTGTTTGTGTATAGTATTGCCTTTAAACCATGGGGTTTAATCAGAACACCTACTTTTTTTACTAGGGCTAAAATTATTTTATGTTTATGAGGAAGAGTGTAAGTGCTACAAAGTCTGAGATAAAAAAATATATATTTTTTACAACTGTTTTTTCTTTTAATGAAAATGAAAGGCATCACTGTCCTTTGGTAGTTGAAACTTTGTAATACTTTTTTTCCATATAGCTTTCTGTGCCTTGTTTGTAAATTGAAAAATCAGCACCTAGAACTGGTTTGTTTTTTTGATATTTTAAATTAAGTTTTTAAAAATTTTGCCTTTATTGAATCAAAATTTTTTAAAATTAAAAGCTTGCTGTCGTCTACCTTACATCATTGAAAAATAAAAACTGTACCCAGATACAAAACTCTGTATTGTATTTGAGAAACCATATTTTTTAAGCTATTTAGTCTTACTTGAAAATTATGGTTTACAAAGTACCTTTATTTTTAGCTTTTAAAATTGTTTATGAATTAACCATTATCAAAACATAGAAAATACTTTCTAAAACTAAATTTTACCCTAACTTATATATATATATACACACACACACACACACACACACACACACACACACACAGTGTTTTATACCTGATGAAATCTAAATGATTTTTGTTATGAAAAAGTGTGTGTGCACATACATACACATATGTGCGTACACATATCAATCCCAACGCTTCCCTAAGTAAGGCACACTTTGCTGGGTTAAGCAAGGCTTTCATGTGGCTTCTGTAATGGCAGTCACATAATTTTTTATTTCTTATCAGTGTAATGTAGAAAGTATAGTATTAACTTAAAAATGGCAAGAACTTCCTTCTTTTTCTTTTTTTTTAAATTTTCTTTAACTTTCATTTATTTATATATTTTTTTAATTGGGGAATTGGGGGAGGGGAACAGTATTGGGGAAGGGGACAAGCCAAGTTGTTGTTCTTTCAATCTTAGTTGTGGAGGGCGTCTGTCGCCATCTGGCTGCCCATCGGCAGCTTGTGGGCTCTAAGCTCAAGGTGCTGTGTTACAATCTTAGTTGCGGGTGGGTGTAGCCACCATGCCATGCAGGAGTCAAACCAGTAGCCTTGTTGTTAAGAGTGCACACTCCATCCACTGAGCCATCCAGGTGGCAGCTCAGTTCAAGGTGCCGAGTTCAGTCTTAGTTGCAGGTGGGCATAGCCACCATCCCATGCGGGAGTCGAACCCAGCAGCCTTGTTGTTAAGAGCATGTGCTCTATCTACTGAGCCATTGGGGTGACAGCTCAGCTCAAGGTGCCAAGTTCAGTCTTAGTTGCTGGCGGGCATAGCCCGCCATCGAACAGACAGTCTTGTTGTTAGGAGCACATGCTCTCACCAGCTGAGCCATCCTCAGCAGCAGCTCACCTCGGGCGCAGCGTCACTGGCCCATGTGGGAATTAAACCAGCGGCCCTGTTGCTCAGAGCTCGTGTTCTTAGGCTAACTCTTAACCAACTGAGCCACTCGGCTGGCCTACGAACTTTCAAAAACATCTTTTAATATTTATACATTTAATGTCTATGAAAGAGTCTATCAACATATCCAGATGTTTTTATAAAATAATCTAAATCTGACTGTATTTCTAAACTTTCTGTGTTTCAGTAGTGGTGATATTGAATTTAGAATATGAGAACATCTTTAATGTTTTAACCATACTTTCAGAGTTTAGTATTTCTATTGCTGTTACTTTTTTAAAGGGTAGTATAGCATTGATTCTGTTAATAATTTAGCAACTTGAATGAGAGTTATAGAATTTCAGAAACTGTTGCCTCTTCTAGGAAAGAGCATCTGTTTCTTCAGCTGGACATGAGAGTGTCTTTGGAAGTGAACTTTTCCGCCCCATAACCGGTACTTAGACACCTAAGTGAGGCAGCAATCTCTTTAGGATCATTCTTACCGCAGGAACAGGATCTGTGGCTGCTGTGGACAAGAGTGGATTGTAATGATGGCTGCAGTGTCATTCAAACCTGAGGACAGCTCTGGGCTTCTAGAGCCTGCTGGCAGTATTGGCTCTGCCCCAGTCCTTGTACTCTGACAGACACATGGATATGTATGACAATTGGGGTCCTGGGAAGGTACTTTCAAGTAACAACATTCTGCCTATTACACACATTGTAGTTTTAGTACATAAGTGGCCCCCTTGTGTTCTGAATTATTGTGTACTTTTAATTACCTAACAGCATATCAAGAAACAGCTCTTAGAAGAATCAGCCTCTATATAAAACCAGAAAGAAAAAAAGGGAATCACTTGCTTCTCATTTCTAATATATATCCCAATTATTTGTGTGTTTATTTTTTAAATGTAAAGTAAGTGGCATTTGTATTTCTTTTAATTATTGATTGTTGGAACCAATATTGGAAAATAGAGGAAGCAGAAGGTGTCAAGTGAGAACAATCATTGGTAATTACGTCATAGAATCAACAAATGTACAGACTCTAGTGGCACAGAAAAACCTCATTTATCTTTGTACATAACAAAATAATAATGCCTTTCATTTCTTTAATATTAATGCAACATAGGGAATGCTGTATTCACTATAGAAGACCAGAGACTTCTTTGAAGAATATCATGTATATATTGTATACACAGCATTGTTCAAATTCAGCTCATTATATCCTGTCACTGTACCCAGGTGCATAAAACTTGATATAAATTGAAAGCTTGTTTATCAATTTCTCCATTTATAGTTCCTATTGAAGATCCACTTAGGGAGATGGCTGAGTACATGGATTCCAGTCAAGATGAGGTCTGGGAGAAGACCTCCTGCAACAAACAAGTTACATTTTTGGTATACCAAGAAGGAGATCAATTGCATTTCTTTCGTGTAGTAGATAGGGGAGATGGCACTTTAACACCATTATCTGAATCTTTAAGGTAAATAGGTTTTAATTTGCATGTCTCGCATAGAAAAGAGCATCATATTATACACTCCATAAGCCTTTATGTTTACCTTGTGTTGTTAAAATAATGTTGCTGTATTCACGAGACTGACGGAATTCCATGCATTCTCCCCCAACGGCCCCCAGCCCCAGGTATGTAATTCTGAAATTGTCCTTCATATGATTAATACTTAGTAATTTCTGAAACTGAAATTTTTTTATGGAATAGGATTTTTTTCATACCAAAAGATTTATTTCTGTAACTTTATGACACTTTAAGATGCCTACTGGATTATAGAGTGTTTTTATAATAGTGTGTTATTATACAACCTTGCCATAATAGAAAGGGTTGAACCTAAAGTTGCTGTCTTTTTTGAAAATTTAACTCTGCTGCTTAAAGGTGTATAAATTTTACTTCTCTAGTCTTGTTTTCCTACTCTATAAAAGGGGGAGGAATGCCGCATCCCGCGCAGCATGGGCAGTGGGGAGTCAGGGGGGTGGCGAAGGGTTAAAGAAACACAAGAGAGAAGGATAAAGTTAAGGTGAGGCCAGGGCACTGCAGTTCTCTCTCTCTGGAACTGAACCCTGAATCTGGCCAATGCATAGCTTTTATTAAGAAACTTCAGAGAAGAGAAACTTTCTTTCTAAAGTCCGCGTGATAAGTGCCTTAAGGCTAGTTTCCATCAACCAACCCCATTGTATTCCAACACATGCTGTGCCTTCATACCCCCCTACACACACACACACACACACACACACACACACACAACCCCCAGGATGGTGCAGCTGTTGCTGCGGACATGAAGTAAGGGAGAAAACCGACATCATTCCCCCGGGTCTCAGCATTCCGAGACACTCCCTTGAGGAAGCTTTAGGATATCATTCCACTGGGTCTCAGTTTTCCGAGACACTCCCTTGTGACCTCGTTAGGTCAGGGTTTGGTGTTGGGGGGCGGTTGAGGATGAAGCTGTAAGGCAACAGAAGAATTGTTATATTACTTATAAAATCAGAAGGAAACAAGCTGAAGGTACTTAGCTAGGCAACAGAACAGTTAGGGAATTATTTGGATAGGGCAACCTGTAAGTTTCTGTGAATCCGTCTTGATGATTTTTTAAACCTCTTTCTTAAGTCACGAAACATTACTGAGCTTTTGTAGCCAGTCTCTACACTAGGCACTGGGTTACACAGATGATTATTCCTTTCTCGTGGAGCATGCAATCTGCTATAAATAGTGTCTGTAATACACTGTGGCAATTGTTATAAAAAGGCATCAACATCTTTGGAAAACCAGATGAGAAGGGCCTTCATTTTGCCTGAAAGGTAGGGAGTTAGGGACAACCTCTGAGAAGAAGTGACCGTAAAAGAAGAGTAGGAGTTTGCCAAGCAAACAAAGGAAGGAAAGGTCTTACAGGTAACTAAATGTAATCTCACAGTATAAAAAGCCAGTGGCAAAACTCTTCATTGAAAAGATAGCTTGTAGCCTGGAGAACAGTTTCTGTGGGGCAGGAGTCTGGGCACAGTTTATGTGGGTGCTCTGTTCAAGGTCCCACAGGCTGCAATCATGGTTGACAAAGGTGCATCTTAGCTGGAGGCTTGATTGGAGGAGAGAATCAACTTTCACATTAATTCACGTTGTTGATATAATTCCCTTCCTGGGAGTTCTATGACTGAGTCCCTGGTTTTTGCTGGCTATTGGGCTAGAGGCTGCCCACAGCTTCCTTCTGACTAACTCATAGTAATGGATTTGGGGCCTAAGTTACATCTTCAAGTTCCTTTTACTTTTGCTCTCTTCTGTTGGCTACCTGTAAATCCTAAGTCATGGCCACAATCCAGGGTAGGAGAATGTAAGGGCGTGAGCAACAGGATCAGGAATCGTGGGGCTTCCTGTAGGATTCTGTCCACCACAGAGTGTTATGCAGAAGGAAGACTACTCATTCTTTGTGGCCACAGAGCGTAGACTATGACAAATGGGTGTTGACTGTAATGTGTCAGGGTCTGGTTAGCGCGACAAATGCTGCGTAAACATGTGAGCTGGAAGTCAGGAAGAGGGAGTGATGCAGGCCGCAGCCTTAGGCCCGTGTCTCGGTTGGACCGTGGGTGTGGTTTCTTCCTACCAGTCTCTCTGTGCTAGCGCGCTGTTGTTCGGGTGTTCTTCCTTAAGAACATCCTCTGTCGGCGTTCCTTTCCTGAAGAAGAGAATCTACGCTCCCTAGCTTAGCATGTAAGTCCCTTTACCACCTGTCATCACCAATTTCTCAGTGCACATCTCAGTGCAATTTCTTTTTGCACATCTATTTCCATTTGCTTGAAATGTCATTTCCTCCTTTTCCTTCAATTTTTTCTCGGCCAACTTCTATTGTATTTAAGATATAGCCCAAATGTTGCCATGGATTTCGATTAAAATTGTATTGTTTTCCTCAAGGTAATTTCTTCTTGTTTATTTTCCTCTTCCTTTCTATTCACCTACCAGAATTGGACAAGAGGTAGAGTAGATGAGAAAGCAGAGTAGAAAACTTTTTCTGGTCCTACCTTGAAGGACATTTATCTTGCCTGTTCTACAACAGGGGGCAGGAAACTCTTCGGTAAAGGGCCAGATAGTAACTATTTTAGGACATTTTAGGCTAAGAATTAAACTCAAGTATACTTATATAACAAGAGAAAAAAATTTTCCACAAGAGTTTTACTGACAGAATTTAAACTGTAAGAATAATAATTGAGTACGTGTGTGTGTGTGTGTGTGTGTGTGTGTGTGTGTGTGTGTNAGAGAGAGAGAGAGAGATTCAGGTCTACTAATGAGAAGAATGGAATTGTTTTTGTGGGAGTAATATTTTACTCAATTGGGGTAGAAAGCTAGTGTTGCCTGTCAAATTTGCAAAATCATTTGCAAAAGTTTATCTGGTAATATTGATCTGTAATGAGATTTTATGTATTTTTTCTTTGAAATTTTGTTTTCACACAGATGGGTACTACTATATACTGATATGTATTCATGAACATATGATTTTTTTTTAAGATTTTATTGGGAAATTTGGGGAGGGAACAGCGTTGGGGAATCGGAGAAGGGGGAACAGACAAGTTGCTGTCCTTTTCTTCTTTAGTCTAGTTGTGGAGGACGCCGCTTCACTGGCCCATGTTGGTATTATGATCATTGCACTCTTCCCGGCTGAGGCAGATTGGTCTCCGGCCATTGGACAGCCACTCACGGCAGCTCACGGCAGCTCTCGCCAGATACTGGCTGCTCACCGTAGCTCACGGCAGCCCACTGCAGCCCCACTGCAGCCTAACGGCAGCCCAGCTCTAGGTCGAGCTGTTATTCACCATCTTAGCTGTAGAGGGCGCAGCATCTCTGACCCTCATGTAGGATCCGAGCCCTGCTGCTCAGAATTTGCACTCCCAAACCAACTCTTAATCAATGAGCCACTCAGCCGGCCCATAGCATATGATTTTAATTGAGCATATTCTTCACTTGGAAGGCATTTATGGAATTCTACTAGTCTTCCCTTGCTGTTTACCTTTAGTATGTCGTTACACTGCAGATTAATTACTTTCAATTGAAAATAGATGGAGCTCCTCATTTCCACCTTAAACAGATTTTGAAATAAGGAAATTTCCATTAACTTGCAATGAGATATGAAAATGCTGCTGGTAGTATACTTTGAGCTCACAAAACATGTCTACTATAAACTTGTTTGGGAATGGAGATCCCACTTAAATTTTTAACTTTTGAAACCCTGACATTTCATTACATGAAGTTCACAGTAGTACTAGTTGTCAGACTAACATTATACAGTATAAGTTTCTCACATAAGTATGGTTTTGCCTTGTCATTTAGGTGGAATTCATTAAGAAACATTATCAAGTCCACAGAAAAAGCTGATTTCCAAAGACATTCAATGCTTGATATTAGCAGTTGAGGGTGGTTATTTTGTTCAGGAAAGTTCAGTGTCAGCCCTGAGCTTAAAAAAAAAAAAATCACAAAACTACTATTGTCAAGTCATTGAACTGAGGGTTAAGTTCAGAAGACAAATGAAGTTTACCCTTGACACTACTGGTTCAGTAATACATGATAGATTGAAATATTTGCCACAGAATATCTGCTGATGAATAATGCAGTTAGTAACCATAGGGCTTTTTTTGTTTGTTTGTTTTTAAGATTTTTATTGGGAATTGGGGGAAGGGGAACAGACAAGTTGCTATCCTTTTGTTCTTCAGTCTAGCTGTGGAGGATGTCGCTTCACTGGCCCAAGTTGGCACCATCGTTGCGCTCTTCCCGGGCAAGGCAGATCAGTCGCCGGCTTCTGGACAGCCGCTCACAGTGGCTGCCGGCTGCTCACGCTGGCTGCTGGCTACACATGGTAGCCCATGGCAACCCACCTGCCATCACTGGCAACTCACAGCAGCCCCGCTCCAGGTTGAGCCACTGTTCAGCATCTTAGCTGTAGAGGGCAGTATCACTGGCCCTCATATGTGGGATCTGAACTGGGGCCCTCTGGCATCCCAAGCCAGCTCCTAACCAACGCACCACTTGGCTGGCCCAGTAACCATAGGTTTGAAACACCTTATATTTTCATTAGCTTTGTAAATTTGTTCAACTGAACTTGGCTTTTTTGTTGTTCTACACATATTTTTACTCCATCAATAGTAGCAGATTTCACTATAAGTTGTACTGAATTAGTGTTTTGGCAACTTTGAAAATATTCTTCACTATGGTGGTTTTATACAGTTACTAGTTTTTCAGTCACTTCAAACTTGGTATTGATGCCTTGAATAAACAAAAACAGCTAAATAGTATTGATAACTTATGCTGACTCATCAAAAGCCAAGGAAAATAACTCTAAATCATTTGCCTTATTTTTTAATTGACTTTTTCCAATGAAAAGTTTATTGGGATGACAATTGTTAGCAAATTTATATAGGCTTGAAGCGTACATTTTAATTGACTATTGATGTTACTTCCAATGTTGTCAACTCTTCAAGAAATTGTTCTTGCTGTAG